AGACACAAAAAATATTATTAAAAAGACAATAGGAACGTAATTTGCCTTCTAAATTTCCAGGCCGCCAGTAACTCGGACGAAACGAAAGGTATCGCGCTATCTACATCCATTACCTTTACCGAGTAAAGCATAACAAATGAAGACGCAGTGAAAAACGAAGTAGATTATTCAGGTCATTTAATGCCCTAACAAGCATGCCGTTTTTTTGCGGATTGTGCGTTGTGGCTATGCCGTAAAATTACTGCTGCTGGATAATTCATCTGACCAATTCACTCAACATTTTATTGATTGCCTAGCCAGACTACGGTAGATCTATGGGAAATAGGTAAATTAATTAGGTGACGAGCGTCAACAGGAAAACAGAATACAAGAATACAGTGCACTATTTTGTTTAACACACTGCAGTTCCATACATCAGGACTTCCTATAGATCTTGTTAGGGGGAAGGAGAGCAGGCTACAGAGGGTGTTCCGAAATAAAAACTATTCTTTTGGCACACGTTATCCATTGCGTACTTCGCATCCGAATGTGTAGTAAAGATCTAGATTTTTTCTTTGTCCGAAAGGATCACCTCTCGACATAGCTGGAAAAATTGAAGTCAGGAGCATAGATAGCTCTATTCTGGCGCACATCGTTGATTCCCAACATCAGATGGACCCCAACGAAGCCTTTCGAGTGATCTACAAGGTCCCACCAAACTATTCACAGTCTCTGGGTCAGCGCCTGCTAGCAACAGCAGGAACGACCGCCATCAGGTTGATGGAGCCGGCATTGTATGCATAAAAAAACCTCCTAGCAGCTCCGCATCTGGCGTGGCCCACATTAACTTAGCTGCATGCACACGTCCACACTCTGTTTGCCTCCCTTCCCTCTCTCCGACTCCCCTCCGTAGACTGCTCCACGGTACTCTGCCCTGAAAACAAGCCTCCTTTTATCGACCCTACCCTCCACCTCCATATTCTCACGACTCACTTGTACGAAAAAATGCACACGTTTTAACTTGTACACCTTTCCCATTAAATGTACTGTCCCGACGATAATTTATCGAAGGCATACTTTCGCTCGCCAAACTAGACTTCTGAAAACGAAA